GGGGAGACCTTATAGCAGCCTTCCAGTACCTGAAGGGGGCCTACAAGAAAGCTGGAGAGGGACTTTTTACAAGGGCTTGTAGTGATAGCACAAAGGGTAATGGCTTTAAACTGAAAGAGGGTAGATTTAGATTAGATATAAGGAAGAAATTCTTCCCTATGAGGGTGGTGAGGCACTGGAACAGGTTGCCCAGAGAAGTTGTGGATGCCCCAACCCTGGAAGTGTTCAAGACCAGGTTGGATGGGGCTTTGAGCAACCTGGTCTAGTGGAAGGTGTCCTTGCCCATGGCGGGGGGGTTGGAACCAGACGATCTTTAGTGTCCTTTCCAACCCAAACCATTCTATGATTCTATGATTCTATGAAGAGGGATCACTTTCAACACATATGAACATGGACAAGCTGTTGTGGGGTACAGGGGAAATGGGAAGCAAAAAGACCTCAGCTATTTATTACAACGCGTACCATACCCAGGCCCCAGCCCTCTCAAATCCAAGATATTGTTCTGAACAGTGGTATAGTAAAATAAAAGAAACGAAGAAGTATTAACACGATGGATTCATTACTGCTAAAGGGTAAAGGCAGAACAGGTTGTTATACATTATCCTTATGTTTTCAATCCTCTTATCATCATCTTTATTATATGTGGAATTAACTTCAATCAGTTCACCTTAATCCATAGACTGGTCTTCATGGTACTCTGTCATTGTTATTCAACAAAGGTAGATGTATTCTTTTTTCTGATTATTAATATGAAGTCTGAGTCAGAACTCAAAACTAGTGTGAGATTTCAAATAATAAGATAAGGGAACAAACAACAGAAAGAGCTTGCAAAGTAGTAAGATGGAATGTGTGTGTTGAATTTAAACACATTATTAACACCTGCTCTAATAACCAACCTAAAATGTAAAACTCATGACAGTGTGGTGTTTCAGCCCAAACCTCTTAGGACTGATAAACATTTTGTCCAGCTTACCTGAAAAGAACCCAAGCCCAGCTCAATGTAAAGGCGAGCTTCCAGACCAGTGCTTTCTGGGAAAAATGCAAATACAATGTAGTGCACTCCAAAGAGAGGGATCAAGAGTAATGTAGATTTAGCAAGTCTCCTGGCAAACCAACAATTAAAGAACAATGCACTGTTAGAAATATGGAACTAGTGATAGCAATTGTATGTTGGAACAAATTTTAATACAGAGGACAGCTCCATAATGGAGGCAGTTACATCCAATGAAGTTACAGAAAGATTATTTTCCACCACTCCCACCGTCAACACCTGGTGAACAAAGACGAACACATCAGCATGCAAGTTTTCCGGATTGACATTTAAGGGTTCTTCTCCCTCCTACACATGCAAAAACAGGTGCACCAAACTAAGTACTCTGAACTAGTCTCCTGAGACTAATCTCAATCACATGTAGGTATCCCCATATAAGTCTCTCAACTTCCAAAACCGTCAATGGAGATCTAATCATCACTGTCCATAGGACTTGATTCAGTTGCCGAAACAGTGGTGTAAGAGCCACTGGTGATGTGCTAGGGTATTCTGCTTGGCCTTCAGCTCACTCCAGAAGGGCATAGGCTTACGCTAGGTCCTGTGCCATAACAAACAGCCATACCTACATATTTTAGGATGAGTCAAATAGTTCACTAGAGTCCTCTGACTGCGCTGATGAGATCCCCATTGATTGTGTAGGGGATTGTAAACAGGAAGGACTAGGTTCAATTACCAGAACATCAGCATCATGTTACTCCTAAGAATTTTACAGGAAATTATCTGCATCTTTCTGTATGTGGCCATTTGTGTGGAAAGGACTGGAAGTAAGATGGATGCATTACCTGACATTTAGTGTTTACACTTTCAAGATGGGTCCTGCTGGAGTTGTAATACTTTATATTTTACTTTTCTCATTGTCCCCAACACATCCACACCACCCTCCTCCCCCTGAAGAAAAAGAGAGATGTGATATTTGGGATGAAAAGGAAAGTTTACATTTTTATTTCTTCTGGGGATTTCTTTCTATTAGTAAGGAGTAGAACATTTTGTGCTCCTGCCCATAAAACATCTCGTATAGCAGCTAGAATGGGTCAATACCAAGAGACCCAGAAATACTTACACAAAGTGGCTTGAATGGCTCCCTCCTCCCTCTTGAGATTTCAATTTATGGACTAGAATTCTGATCACATTCATAAATATAATAAAGTTAATCTGAAAAGACAAGACAAAATCTGTAAGCGTACTACAAATCAAGACATGTCTTCAATTGATACAAATTAACAGAAAATTCCCAGTTATAGAAATTGCACTGGTATAAACCAATGAAGATCTGCTCACAGATCAAATTGATAGCATTAGAAATAGTATTATTTTTCCCACTAATATGTAGCTATACATAAAGATACGCTGAAAGTTATGTTGAATGAATATAGACCTGCATATCTCAATATCGTTTTATGTCTGCTATTAAGTCCTAATATTCGCTGTCAGCACCTAGCAGATCTTACAAGGTCTAAATAGTCCCCCTTGCTCTCTTCATTGTTTATTATAGGGCTTATAACAGTCCTAAATGACAAATGTTTCCTCCCTAAATTTAGATGGAATGAATATGTGCATAAGGGAGATTTTTTGTCTTAAGTTTATGTCCTAAGAACTCATTTTAAAAATATACTAGATAAAATGATCTATATGTATTTCTTGTATTAAACCAGCTTCATATTATCTAAGAGTCATGCCAGTACACATTGCCTTTCTTCAGAAATGACTTACAGAGACAAGGACACAACTACGGTATGTGGAATGGAGGTGTCAAGATGATTCCATTATGTCCTAGCATGACTCTAAAAAATATGGGATTTACCCTTTAGGTTGTGATTTAGGGTGTTTGTGGGGGGAACAACAAAACCAGCAAAACCACCAACAACAACAAAACCATATGCTATACAATAATTTCCAACTATTTGAAATTCAATACCTTAGCATGTGCTATTGCTTTTTTCCCAGCTTACTGAAAGGAGACATTAACTTAGCTTTCACATTTCAAAAGATACTCAAGACAAAATGAAAGAACATACTAATACAGTTAGCAGAATGGGGCCTTTGATGATCCATAACACCACTCCATTTTCATCATCATCCCAACATCTGAAACAGCAAACAAAACCAATAATGTTATCTATCCCATGTGAGCTTTTCACAACACATGAAAGTATTTCTGTCACAGAATAGGAAAGTGATGGACACTAAGTTTTAAATCACTATTTAAAGGCCCTTGCCAGTTCTTGCACCCTGATACCTCTCTGAAAGTTTCTGTGCAGCCCAATCTAAAGGAAGTTTATTCAGTAAGAGGCAACGGTTGAAGAACCAAAGCAAAGTCAAGAAATGCACATTTGTATTTTCAGGCTTCTTTCCTGCTCTTCTGTTTGAAAAAGTGACTGGTTTACAGGGTACAGATCAGAGACTAAACTACTGTGCATCCACAAACATAATGACTTTGGGATCATGAGGAAATAGGCAAGAAAAATCTAGAGCCCTAGTAAAGGTACCCTGAAGGGAGAGAGCAGAATGGGCTTTTGGTCCTTGTTTTGAGGCTTTCATGTACTTAACATCAGTAATAGTCCAGCTTAACTCTTTCCACTCAAGTGCCATACATGCTAGGTTATATCATGCTCCCTCTTCCCGTATTTTCCCTTCCAGTTTTGTGATAGAGTATTTGGCTGCATAATAATAAAGCTTACAGATGATGACTTATCCCAGCATGTCTGAGTGTAAGGTGTGTCTTTGCAACATGAACAATGTGAGTTTGGACCAGCTGTATCTGAAGAACTTGGGTTTCCCATTTACTAGGCTATTAGGTAAAAGATGAGTGGTTCTGATACTGTAGTTTGTTTATATATCTAATATTAGAAGAGCAACCAAAAGAATGGAGGATCTGCGATGAGATTCATCTGACTGTGTAGATGTCTTCATCTATTCAACTACATTTCCTTTGCAGTCAAAGGAGATCAATACAGCAGGACACAATTAATCTCATATTAAAGTGGATATCTAAAATACATCAGAGCAGGTAGGCACTTTGCTGCAAGAGCACCCAAAGTTCAGATATTTTTCAGCCCTCTCTTTAAGCCTGTGAGAATTTGTTAGAGCTCTTGTTCCTGCTCTTCACTGTTCTCTGAACTCTCTCTGTAACTGGAGTATTTTATGCCAGATTCTTCTGCTACAGGTCCAACAGATAAACCCAGCAATTCTTTGGAAGAGGAGCAGTGGGAAAGGAGGAAAAATGAAATCTTCCCACACCTCTCCTGGTACAAAAAGGAAGCACATGATGTGGAAAGGTAGACTGCTTCCACTTATGAAACATTACAGCGGAGAACTTCTGCAGGTGTACTGCAGTAATATAAAGAAAGGAAAATAGGATGTGCCAAATGTGGTGGGCCGTAGAACTTACTGCTTCTACATCATTAATCTGAGTCCTGAGCAGGTAGGTGTAAAATAATGTCCTTTCCAACTGATCATCCATGTGAAATGACCTGAAGGCCTTCAGGGTAGCTTTTAGTAAATAATCATCTGCTTTACACCTGGCTCTCATATTAAAAGATAAAAATAAATTAAAAAAAAAAAAAAAAAAAAAAGAGAATCAAAGAACTGAATGGAAATGAAAGAAGAAACTACTTATCAGGACATAATGTGTTTGTTTGGGAGGCACTTATTTGAAGAGATTAGGGTTAGTAATTTATGGCTGATTTTATACAGAAGCAGTGATTTTCTTAAAATATAATTATTTCAAGGACTGGGCGTTAGGACGCTAAATGAAATGTCAATACTTACTACGATATCTCCAGGTTTTACTACTCCATATATGCACATCAAAATCAGACTTAAAACTATTTTCTCACTTACTTGCGTATGAAGTTTAAAGATTAGGGGCACAACGTTGGAACAATTTTTTTTGCTGTTCTGTTTTTTATATCTATTTATTCCTCACTAGCAAATCAAAATACAATACAAAATAGGATGTCCTTGGCTTCCTTATCCAAACTCTGACTTACCCAGTATTTTGTCGGTGGATTCTTGTGAGGACCCAAGCAAATATCACAGCAGTGGGAGCTCCTGGACAAATCAACATGGAACACACAATATAATGTTTTGAATACCATGTCCCATGGAAACTTTATTCCAAGAAGGTTCACAGTGCAGCAGATTGGATGTACATTAAAGGTCAAACAATGGGCCAGACGATTTTAAATAACTTATGAAAGAACTTAGCTCACTGTTCAGGGAAGAAAAAAAAAAGAAAAAAAAGAACCACAGAAGAATGAAATCAAAACAAAGGAGAATAGGGATGCTGTGAAACTATCTTTTCAAAAATAACAGGTAAGAATTACTTGAAGGTTTGGATATGAATTACGAGCACTTGTGAAGCTGGAGGAATCACTTATTTAGCTAAAGCTCTTTTATCTTTTGAATTGTGGTCAGCATACAACTCTCTGTACACTAGCTGGAAAAGTTCACATTTTTGTCCTAAGGAGTCTCTACTAATGACTCTAGACCCATCAATTGATTAGCATTCCATGAGAATTTAGCTAAATCCATGAATTGGTGATTTCTAACCTCACCTTGTCACTGCTTATCTTTCTGTATTTATGACTGAATAGTTATTTCTCTTTCTTTTCTTTTCTTTTTTTTTTTTCTTTTTTTAAGCAGATCTATAAAATAGCAGTTGCTTTTGCTCTCATTCTGTGGAACTGAATTTTCTAAAGACTAAGTGACTTTCAAACCTGCCACAAAGGGGGCTCTAATCTGAAGCAGGTGACATTTTCACTGATAAATCCATAGAAATACAAGTAATATCTTTCTAAGTATCATTTGAGATCTGTAGGAAAGGCCCAGAAGTTGTCCTTCTTAATTTTAGACCTTTGTTCAAGGCCTTTAAGCTGGGACCATATTCAGTTCAAGTTGCCTTTTTAATTAATCAAGAGAAATATTTCCATATCACCTAAGATCTGAGTTGCCCCTGAGATGTCTCTCACTTTCCATTGATTATAGAAGGAGATGAAGATTACTATATTATTAATTGAGGTGTTTCCTTTGTTATCTCAAGTTAGCTGTGATTAATCAAGGTCTAAGCATCAATCTGTGATTAATCAAGGTCTAAGCATCAGGATATCATAATTGGAATAGCTCCAAATTAACATCCCGTTTATAAAATGCAGACTTTTAAAATTTAATTACATAAAAAAAGTCTGAGAGTTTGAAGATGAAGGATGAATTACTATTTACTTCAGGAGAACTTGAATTTCACTCCTAAGACAAAAATGTTGTGTAACCACTCAATTTGTGTTCCTCTGTTTTAGAATATCTAAGATGAGGTACAAGAATATCTGAGAGTCACAATAAACCATTCTTTGCAGTGAAAGAAATTTTATATATTACCTGCACATATTCTAAAAATCAGACATAATTTTAATTGCTGTATAAGCTCAAAAGATTCCCTGAAGCCAAAAGGTCTCTGAAAAAATAGAATTTTTTGATTCCTAGGCCTGAACTCAACATGATTTAAGATTAATCTAACTAATTCTGCTTACTAAAAGAAAAATGTCAACTTAAAGTTAGTCACCCAAACTTCTTTAGTCAGTGGAGGAAGGCAAAATGTTTCCAGGATGTTATTCAACCACATTACTCATCTTCTTCAGGACTGGATTAATCACCACCTCGGCATGCCTACCTCACTCTAGTGACTGCAGGAGAAACCTGGAGAGATAATTTAGATTAGATGGCTAACTTTTAAATTACTGTAGTTGCATGAAATTAATTCCAATCACAGAGATGAATGCTGTAGTCTTTCCAGTAGGCATATCATAGTGCTTCTAGTAATCCATCCCATCCTCTCCTTCAAAGTTTTGAACGGTTAAATATCTAACAAAATAAGAAGACAGAATAATGGTGTGGTTTTGATGTAGTAGTACTAGATGAATGGGGAACTTTCATCAGAAAGGTGGCACCTTTGATAGGCACCTTTTATCTCAGAACAAATATTTTATCTAGATCTGAAAGTAAATGGAAATACTAAATAACACAAAGAGGAAAAGACTACTAACCCCAGCCAGTAAATATGAACCACCATACATACTGCTTGTCCGAAACAAAGGTCAGCAAAAGCAGTGTTTGTAGGTATATCCCTTCTATAAGAAGCCAGAAGAAATTGGCTAAAATACTGAACTGGAAGAATGCCACAGCAGCCTTACAAGCAACCTGGAAAAGCAGAGGAAGAAAAAACTATTAGGTCTACTCTCCATTGTGTCTGGTTTCTTTACAAGTACAGGCAAAATTCAATGTCACCCCACAAGAATGAAGAAATTATTACAAGATTTCAGTAGGTTTGGGATTCCATCACTTCAATTGACTTGAGTTTTTTGAAACATTGGCCTTGTCTTATAGAAGAAATTCTTTACTGATAGAAATTGCTACAGCTTCATTAGAGTCAACAGACCTGTACTTTATATATCAAGCTGAATGTAGTCATAGCACATAGTCTTTGGGTTTCTGTAATATTGTTTGTTTTAAGATTTCAGTTCTAGCAAACTGAAGAGAAATGGGATTAAGAAATCTCCGCGTTCTCTTTGGCTCAAGAATTAAATGTTAAATCAAAGATAAGAGAGAGGGGAAATTTAGTACCGTTGACATTAGGCAGTGGTCCATAGTTTCATCTGCAAACAAAACGGCATCTTTGGTGAAAACAGCAATTGCTCTCAGGATGAAGGAGACAAACAGATGCATATGGATGTAATTCCGTGTACAGTGGAATTTTCTGACATGGAAAGAGAAAATAAAAATCGTTCTTCAAGAGAAATTTCTCATGGTCTCATCAAAACTCAGACAGAAATACAGGGTGACTTAAAAAACCTTCCAAAGCAAATAAATGATCTGTCACTATTTAAGAGGGAGCTAGACAAGGGAGCAGAGCAGTTATTATCTGTTTAAGCTAATAAAAATGCTAGTATAATTGTCCTTGAATCACCACACATTTAAAGGAGATGCCAGAAGCAGAGAGTAACTCCGGGACTCTTGGGCTTTATTGCAATAATGTCTTTTAATTATTCTAAATAGCATTTTTTGTTGAACAAGCTTGCAACAGGCTCTTCAGTCCCTTTCTGGCCAGAGGAAAACAGAATATTGAATAGGTGTCGGTCGCACGTTGTGGGATGGTTGCCAGGGAAGTAGCTGTCTTACCCTAGACTGCATTTCCCTACTTGAGCTGAAGGAATTTCCTTCAAAGTTTGGACAGATCAGCCTCTTGGTCCTGGATCTCTCTACTAATGGTATGACCTTTGAGACTGCAAATCCACGCCAGTTACGGAGCTGCTTCTGTACTGTGTGTTCCTGTCTGCAGAGTAAGCTTAAGGCTTTTTTCCAAGTGCATTGGAACCAATAAAAACGAGAATCCATTTCCTAATATCCAGAGTCATCAAACATGACATTTAGATCTCTTTAAATCTCTTTCTATAGCTCCAAATTATGGAAGCAATGGTCTTTCACAGAAGGAATGGACAGTTTAGAATTACTACCGGTCCAGGGACATGAGACACTCAGTTTCTGCAGAATGTGTCCTGCTATGCACTGGAGGAATAGTTATCTTATGTTAATAGTGATAACAGGCTGGAGCATTTCCACTGTATGGTGTCATTAAAGAGACTAAGATAGACTGCCCAGCCAGCTTTATTGTTTTAACATCTGCAGGGAAATGCCACAACATAAATAGAGAATGACCCATTGCCATCAACGGTGTTATGGCTGAGAAAGACTTGAAAATAATAATTAAAAAAATCCACAAAAAAAACCCCACAGAGGGTTTGAGAGGAATTAGGATGAGGCTATCTTAAGACATCCTGGAAAAAGAGACCATTTTTTTTTTACCTGAAGGCAGCAAAGACAATTAGAGCTGTAATGAGTGAAGTCACTGATGCTGCATAGCCAGCAGTGTAGACACGCCAAAATGCAGAATAATATGATTTCTATGAGAAAAAGAGAACACAGACCAATGCTGGTGGTTATGCAGCATGCACGCTGGTGTGCTTATTTCACTAAGATACATTTTCCCTTACTAGTCAGTCCCATCACCTATGTGTTGCTTTACATGCTTAAGATCTGATTCAGGTTTTTTCCTCCATCATTGACACACCTTTTTTCTGTTGAATCCTACATAACCTTATACATGGGACAGATTCCACAGCCCACAGGATCATACGAAGTAGTGACCCCTTTGAGCATGTTCAACAGGAAAATGTTACTTTTGTTAAGTAACTACATTTTCTCCTATAGGTACCTAAAACCCCTAGGGCACTGAAGCTTGCTGATGGGTGATTTGTGAATCCATCACTTTAGACTTGGGCCAGATTCTACTCTGTTTAGCTTAAAGGACGTTTCCTACTGATTTGATAAGTGTTTATTTTCATAAACAGCATAGTTAAAAGAGAAATAAAACTTGCATTTTGCAGGTGAGGAAACCAAAACACTGGGAAACGGTCACATCACATGGTGGAAGTAGGAAAGTTAAAGCCAAGAAAATAACCTCACAGTCTTTAATTCTTTGGATAAACAGTTCATTCAGTAGCCGCATATTGTAACACTGTAAATTCTTTATAGTTCATTTGTTTGTTTGTTTTGCATTCAAATATCCTGTGTCTCAAGAAAAATGAAGGATGTTTATGTTGCTTTAGCTATACAAATTTTATCCTAATTCACTACAAGATCACCTAATTATTCAAAATCCCAAGAAACTAAATTATCTGAATCCAGGCAAATTTTGTCCTTGCAAATGCAATGGACACTTTGTTCTCTAATAAACTCTGTTTATCCAAAAGGCAGCAATCCTAGGTTGAGACAACTGATTAGCAATTTTCAGTAGATCCATAAGTAAATCGTGCAACCTTGACAACCTAAGAATCATCCCGGTGTTTCTGAAATATTCCTAATCTTTTATACGGTATTTTCAAAACACAGGTGAAAATTAGAAAATAGGTTCTTCAATTGAACAGTGAAGTATTTCGATGCATTTTATCTGTTTTTGTAGGGTAGCTAAAAAACCAACACTATATGCAGAAGACATCATAAGTCCTCACTGCAGGTACAAAATACAAAAAAGTGGTTCTCTTAGAATATAAATGGGATTCTTCTCACCTACTTCCCTATGTTTACAGTGCAATACAGCTTACCGATCTTATCTTCCCTTTATAGACTTTGTGGGTTTGTCTGACATAACAAACTAAACACAGCCACAGCACAGACATGAGCTCTGCCCTGAAATCTTCTATAATGTTAAAATGTAAATATAGTCCCTTGCTTGATTTCAGCCTAGTCCAGCTACAGACTAAGCCTGGCTTAGCACAAGCCAGGGACTGCTTGGAGAAAGCCACCCTGGTCTGGAGAGTAAGAGAGTTTAGCTCTGTGGGTGAGAGCCATGCCATGGCAACTGGTCCCATGGCTGGAGAACCGTGCGCTAGAACACATGGCACCTTACCAGTCTCGTAGCCCTTCTGAACTGCTTGTGTGGTTTCCAGCAACTTTCCAGAAGTTTTTAAAGCATCTATCTTTCTAGTTTCCCCACAGGGTAAAGAAGTACAGAGATTCTCAGTTTACAGTTGGGGAATTTTGCTCCAGATATCTGTACTGCCTATTACAGCTGTGCTTGAGTTTCTAAGTTCATGGAGCCAAGTAGCGGACTCCAATTGTCTCTACACTTCCTAAAGATTCAGTTACCTGAAGCAGAACTGCTGTGTTTGAGCTTTCATGCCTGGAGAACCAAAAACACTCACAAGGAGTTATATGAGTTAGCCTTTTCTTTCATAGGTTGGAGGTAGTCTATGGCTTCTATCAAAATACCACGACAGGAGGAGGAGGCGGTGATGTTCCCCAGGAGCTAGTGCATTTGCACAAGATGGATGAGCCTTGCCCCATACAGACAGGAGATGAGGGGATGGAGACACCCCTATTCTCTCATGCTGGGACTGTCCCATTTAGCAAAGGTCAGAACTCAAGAGGCAGAAGCAGTGAGCACACCTCTGTTAATCAACAACCTTCAGCCATGAAGTAAAGCTCACCACTGAGGTACTAACACCACCAATGCAGTGTGAGGCATTCCTATCCTGGGGCCAAATCGATGATGAGGAACACGGAAATTTAAATCACATGAAGATATGGGTGAAAAAGAAACACTCCTGGAGCCTAAGTGAGCATCTAATGATGCTCTTTAGATAGGAAAAATAGGGTTTCGTTTCCTACTTCACTGAACACCTGAGATAACGTGTGAAAATACTCAATGGCATCCAAGAGTTCCCTCCTAGAGATGTGCATTGACCACCATGCTGTGAAGTTACGGAATCTTTTTCTCTGACTCAAATAAAATCTGGAAAAACAAGCAACAGGAGGGAACTGAAGGAATTTTCCCTGTAAAATTCCCCACAGACCGGTTGGTAGGGCTTCCCCAGGAGATGGGTGCATGATGTGGATTCAAATCACCTGTTCGAGAACCAAAGTCTTTTTTAGGCAGGACAAGTGAACTAATCGTGAGTCTACTGATTAACACCAAGAGGAGACAATTGGATAGAGAGGAAAGTGCTACCTGCTACTCCTTTGCTTTATATTAAGCCTAACTTGTTAAACAGTCTCTAAATATACCTAAAAGGTTTGAGCTTAGCACTGAAGATGTGTAATTACTGGATTCTGACAAGGCTCATATGTGTAGAAGCATGCAACTACTCAGCACACTCAAAAGAGGGTGCTCTGGAGATGTCCACGAGCAGGAAATCAAAAACTCACCTGATCTTCAGGCCCTTTACTGGAACCTTCATCGAACCCACAGGCAATGGTATATGGTGGGAATGGTTCTGACCAATATGCCTCCTGTGTACAGTTTCTCTGAAGGAAGCCTTTGATTGTAAAGTATATCAGAGAATGAATTATAGAGGGGGGTGTTCTTTAAGTTTTGACAAGAAATAACAAATTTTTATTCCCACTTTGATTCTTAAGTTAGGCACTTACAGGTCTAGTCATGTTCAGCAAGGCTAGCTATAGGGTCATAATATTCTATACATCTATCATTTAAAAAGTTGAGACAGATGTTCCCATTCATTTCAACATGCAGTGGAACTTCTACATTTCATATAGGAAATTCATTCTGCGAATTCAATCTTTACACAGAGGAAATCAAATTACGCAGCCTATCCTGCATTTACAACATAATTTGTGTTTGTGGTCAAAGTCCTGAGACACCTGATCTAGCTTTGAAGTTAAATATAATTTTTGAACTTGGTCCTGCTCTGACCGGAGGATTGGACTAGATGACCTTTCTAACATTAATTATTCTATTACTTTATAAATCAGTGATTCTATGACATACTTATATTCCTTTATAACCTTAGCAATATAGTGCAATTACCCATGTTTTTTAGACCACCAAAGAGATCAGACGATTAGTACAGCATAACACAAAACAGAAGAGTACCAAATATTGACCATAAGCCAAACTGTGTATCTGGATAATTACTCTATGTCAGCTGACATAAAATAGCATTGTGAATCAGGAAAATAAGTAAGTTACTGAATCTTTAACTATTAGAATTTATTTTCACAATATCTAGAAATAACAAGAATAGGAAAAAAGTCTTGCCATGGATATTGGTGATTTCTTCAAAAAATCTCGGACAGGGAACTTTAACCACTTCCCCAAAAGTGGCTCTGGGCCAGCAGGTTAGACCATCCCAATCTCTGGTGCATCCTGAAAAAAAAGTGCCTCTAAATAAACACACACAGAATATCACACAGTTGATCTCCCATAATGAGATGGTCTGTGGCTTCCCACTAATTCACATGCATGAAGAAGAGCCACAACAGGACATGCAGCTCTGCAGGTGGAAGATTGTATTGTTTTGCTCTTCTCCTTGAATGCATCGTTGCTCACATATGCACTTGGCATTCCAGCTGGACCTTCCCCCACCTTATCTCATGAGAGAATGTACCTGGAATTCAAGCAGACACAATCTGAAAGTCAAAACAACTGGAGCTCTTTCTACTGTCAAAACAAAAGTGACCAAAATCAAAATATTGAATAAATACTAGCACTTGAGATTTCTCATTGAAAAACATCAAACTTAAGAGCCTTAGTCTCTTGATTCCATGCTTAAAGTCTACCAATTTCACCTGACTTAAAGGATATAAGGGCTGAAGTCCTGGTCTTAGGCAATCAATGGCATTTTTACAGTGGACTTCAACAAGGATTAGATTCATCCCAAACTAGAAGAACATCTCTCAGCACCGTATACAATAACTACCATCAGGAATAGGTCTGACTGGTTGGCATTCACGAGGTTCCCTAAACCAGAGGTTGCTAGCTGATGACGCAGGACATGCTACTAGCTACGAGTCCAATAAAAAAGGTTTTCAGAAGTTATAGTTAATCACAGCTTTGGCACGGATGCATCACATCATTGAGACTCAAGCTGTGGTCACGCAGTTCTGTTGGCATGTAGGTGGGTGCAGAACAGAAAAATTATCAGCGTGTAAAGGTGCCTGAACCAATAAAAAAAGCACCGCGCTGTAACTGAAACTAATCTCTAGATAGTCGTAAGGTGGATATAAAGCAGTGCATGAGTTTCATTTGGGAGGTGTTATTTTCTTTCACTGATTCTTTTCTGTTTCCTCTGTGACTGATGACAAGGCAAATCTAAAATTGTCAAGAGCTGAAATGTGGAAGCAATATTACTTGCCTGGAGCTAAGGAAAGTTACTCTTCGGCTTCTGAAAGGATAGTCCTGAGAATCTCCCACAGCATTATCCTCATATCACCCTTGGGAGGATGAGATTCCTGGTATCCCCAATTTGCCAGATGGGAAAATAGAAGCTCTGATTCATTATCTCTAGTTTTAATTATCTTAAATATGTTAGCTAATCTTAGCTATGTTCCCTCTGTAATCAGTAGGAAGAGACAGGGACTTCCAGCACATGATTCATCGCATATATTGGCAGCTCCTTTCTGAGGACAGGATGAATCACTGGCTGCAAATACCTAGGGCTCTCTGATGATTACAGCCTAAACTATTAGGCTGCTAATTTTCAAATGAATAAAGTCAGGTAATATGAGTCCTACTTAGACATGCAGTGGCCCACACACACAGACTTAGGGACTTAAGGGTCCCTCTTAGAGGAACTATAGTACCTTTGAGGAGCTCTGTCTAAAAATCTATTGTATTTGACAGTGTGGGGTTAAAAACCAGAACCAGGTGGCCTTATGTAGGAGTGAAACCTGTATGTTTTAAATCTTAGATCTGGCTTCATTGCCAGTGAGTTCTACAGTTTCTATCAGAGAAACTGCTGAGTGCAGAGGCAGCAAGAACATTTTACACGCCAAGGCTTTCAAGAGACTAATGATTGTCCAAGTCACCTGAGACTCCATCAAGACAACTGCAGTAGGAATTATATCAAGTAATGTTGATGTCATAGATATTTAAGTCTTCTTCAGTAACCCAGGGCTTTTTCTTTTTTAGACAATGGAGAAAAATAAGCATTTTTAGAGCTTGATGCAATTGACCTATTTTACACATCTACTTCAAGATGAGAGGAATTGCACCCTAGACTCTACTGATGACACCCATTAGACACCGTTTTGTACAAGAATAATGTGGAACTACTTTCAACTGAAAAGTCTGCAACATAGACTAATTCCAGCTCAGATTCTCTGTGAGTGTTGAGAAGTAACTCCGTACAAATTGTGATCCTTCAGTTTGTCTCGTGCAATTCCTGAAAACTGAAAAGCAAGCCAGGGACTTTTACCAATCTTTGTCTAGTTTTAAAATACCCCAGATAAAATATTGGGGATTAATTGTTTTTCCTGATCTAATGTTTCATTTTAAACTATATTGAGAAAGGCTGTAAATACCAGAACAGATTTTGATTAAAGTTTTTCCATCTCTAGGGAATAAAAGGTGGAAAGGGGAGCTTTGAGAAGATCAGAGTTGACAAGGTTCAAGATTTTAAAATAGTTTAACAGAAATCTGAGCAGTTTTTATTTCTTTGAGTAGCCTTTGCTACAAAGAGGATTCCCAAATAATGTAATTATTTTTCTGGTGAAGAGAAAAATACTTGGAATGTCATATTGTAATGCATGTAATAAATCATTATAAAAAATGCCTGATTTTTGCCAGAACTTTTTTGGGTGGGTTACTGGGTGTTCCAAGTGCAAAATGTGTCCAGGAGGTATTCTGGACTTGATTAAAGGAGGGGGGAGAAATACTACTAAAATACAGTAGGCAAGTACAAGAAGGGTATCAGACATCAGAGTGATTATGTTAACATAATCATAACATATTTATGTTAACATAAATAAGAAGATAAAGGAAATATCCTGGAGGTTAGTCTAAATTTTGGTAGGCTGCTAAAGGTAGACTTCCAGGTGGTTGCAATACTTCTATTCATACCAAGTGCATGAGGCCTCATGTCTCATAACTCCTCTGTAGAAAATGAACATCTGATAATTCATGGCAACTGAAAAATCTCGCTGAGGTGGATTTATACTTTTTTAAGCAAAGTTGGACAGAAAAAAATATGACTGAAGTTTTGAAAGAGTTTGAACATTTTGAAATTTCACTTTGAATCAATTTAAAACATCTCCACAATGCCAAAACTCCAGCAAAGAGAAACCTCTACAGAGCATTTAAAAAAATATTTTACAAGCTCTCTGAAATGTTCATTTTGATTTTCAGAATTTATATTTGAGCATGTAATAGATTTCAAAACACCACCACAATAAATCTTTTCAAACAAAGAACCAAAGGACCTCCAAAAATGTAGAAATAAAATATTTTGAAGAAGTTGGGATTGGTTTTTTTTTTTGTTTTTTTGCAAAGAACATTTTCACCAGATTGGAATGATTCCCAACACAATATAATTTCAACATGCTTTTCAGTGTCTTCTGTGAAAGCTTCTTTGCAGTTTTGGATATAAGTAAAGAACACACCAAATACTTTAGGAATGTAAGACGTTCCAAGTAGAGTTTTCCTGCCCTAACTAAGCCTCTAAACTTGTCAGGGTCTGAACTAATCATCTTAGTCTCAATCTGTAGTTAGTAAAGAGAAATACAACTCCAGAGAATGATTCATTTCATCCTAAAGTAAGCATCTAAACCAGAGGCAATGAAACATGTTCTAGGGACACCCATCTTCCCCCATTTACTTGCAGGGAATCTAAGAAGACAAGTCCTGACTTAGACATTGAACTTTTAAAGATGTCTAAAATGAGATGAGGTAAAGTCTCAGCCTATAGAAGCAGCACTTCAAACTATTAAGAAACCAGATAAAATAGGAATCAAATCTTGACTCAGGAGAACAAATGGTATCTTGACATTGTGCCCCTGAAATGATATACAAGGGATATTTATATCAGAGTTTGACAATAAGGACCGTTACCTTTAAGATCAGGTGAAACAGATTCATTCTTTTCTAAGCAGAGAGCCTCCTCTTTGACCACCTGCTGGAATATCTTGCATTCTGGATGGATTCCCACAACCTCAGTGAGAGAAAGACAAAACAAACCAAGAAGTTCTGTGATTATCGGAATGAGAAGAGCCAGGTTTCTTTCCGGTTTGTACCTTGTGGCTGATACGTTGAGGTTTAAGAATGTGAAAACTCCAGCTGAAGATTTTTCTGCAAAAAGGACAGGTAAATGGCAGAAGGAGGCTGGGATCTCATACATTTATCAGTTTGTATATGCATCTGGATATGTATACTTGTATGGATTCTTCAGTGTATCACAATAGTCAAACTCACATAGCACCTCTTCTCCAATCTGGACATTTATACCACCTCTTATTTACACCTATGTTTTTCACAAAGCTTAAATAGATTTCACAGTCTTTGGATCTCCACCTTTTTGTCAACTGGCCAAAGTTGAATGAATCCATCAGCTATGGGAATATTCACACTGAGTCCCCCAAACATACATGCAGACTCACCCCATAAAACAAATAAAAATAAATAAATTTATTTAAATATACATGGGATTGTTTGGTGGTTTTTTTTAGTTAATTATTTTGGGTGTTTAGAACTACCTATTGGCAAAATATTCCTCTTTTGATCCCTGGAAGATCCCAAGAATCAAGTTTTCTTTATTGGAGGAACTAACCCCAAGTGTGACAATAAAGTCTTAATTACTCTTCAGGAGAGCGTGCCTACTCTGCTTTGATGCTGATACTAATAGAATGGGCTCCTGGTCTTCTTTGAAACCTTGAGATTATAATGCCATAAAAATCATTCTACTGAGAGAGCGCAGTGTGAGCTCTTCCCTTCTGAATGCAGTTGGTATAGTTACAAAAATAGAAGTAATAAATAGGACCAGAAGTTTTAAGTCCATTGGGGCTTAAATAAGAAATACTGAAGTCCAAGAATTTAGTGAAATCAGAAAAATAATAGCCTTAGCCATAGTTTAATCTGAGTGATTACAGAATTTTATCAACATGTTGCCTGAGGATGCAGAGTTGCTACACACTCCTTAGACAGAGGCACTGTTTCATTTTATCAGATGAAGAAATGAGAAAAAATTAGTGACTTCTTTTGGAGCTTACAGAATGATATTTGTCTCACAGATTAAGATACCTACATTTAAATAGCTAAATAGATTTCTAGACATCAGTTGTTGAATAGGGTCTAGATTCATCTTCTCAAGTACAGATACCTAGTGTCATTTAGGTGCTGTCATGTATTTTGCTTGGCCTCCATCTCTCACTCCAGAAAGTTTAAGGTCTACTGTAGTCCTGCATCGTATCTGCTGTGATTGTGAAGATGTTCTTAATACCCTAGAACATCCCAAAATTATATTCTCTGAAAAGGCAATTAATTTATGAGATAGAATCTTCAATGTCAGTGCCTGCTTGTTATCTGAGCTTCTTTTGCAGTCCAGGAAATTTAAAGGATGTCTCACTCACCCAGGAATGATGAGTGCCATTTGGGATGCTATAGGGTATGTCAGCCCTCTTGTGTAAATTCTGCATTAATTTTGCCAGCCCCATGTAGAAGTCTCAAATACATTATTTGATATCTCAAATAATTCTACACACCCATATTTATGTAACTGAATTAATCCCAGTGTCAATAGAGTCAGCAGAGTCTAGAAAGCAACTGAATATCACACCAAAGCCTCCTTTGGGAAATTGGGATCTTCAAGACATAGGGAGTCTTACATGGAATAGAGCAGAGGGTGTGCTCCTTTGCAAGCTATGCTATTCAAGGCAAAGCCACGGGGGCTCAGGGGGTAGTGATTTTAATTGAAATGATGGATTGAAGTCTTTCTGAGACAGTTCCGAGGAAGCCTGTAGGCCATTCCAAACCTCTAATGACTTTGAAAACACAGTACAGATGAAAACATCACTGCTATATTGCCTTTTCAGTCTGAGGAAGTTGATTTATTGGCCTTCAGAATGTTTTCAGTGAGCAATGCAACCAGAACTTCTTTTAGCCTCCACAGAAACTTTACTGGAAGTCATGTAGACTATTATATTTTAGCAATAATATCTGCCTAGGGGAAAAAAAGTAGAACACAACTTTATCTTTAAAAACCTTTAAAAATTCTGCCTACATTTGGGTTTTAAAGTAGCATAGACAGGCTGCATTTAATTATGAGGCCCTAGAGATGGCTCATATATCCTAATATTAGAACAGAAAAAGGATGAAGGACACTGTTTGAAAAGAAAATTAAGACATGGATTTTTCATGCATTATATTCCTCCAGTGGGTAATTCAAAATATATTTTATAAATCAGCATGAGTGACTCTTAAAATAGTACTTCTTGCTGTTCAACTATAGTAACACAATTCTGAAATGAAATTTTTCAGATATTATTAGGATTCCTGCTCATCACTTCATCTTTTAACATATATTTCACTTTGCATTCAGCCTACATAACAAACGAATTATTTGAGTAGTGTAACAAAATGATTGCTGCATAAATCACTCATTATTTCAGTTTATAAAGATGGATTCAACTGGACAGGAAAGAAGTAATTTCTCTACTTTCTGGAATTTCTGGAGTTTATTACTGCTGAGAAACTTTGTATTTGGAGTATTCTTAGGCTTGATGTTTAAAAGTCATGACAACTTGACATGCTGTTATACAACCTACCATCTATACTAAGTCCTCTGGCAAAAAGCTTGAAAGCAATGACCAGTCATAACCCAAAATGAAATAAAAACCATGAAAGGAGATTTGAAATGCCTTTGAGAAAGAAGCACTTGGGAGAGATGGGTTAACTTAACTCCCTCCTCACGCCAGAGGTGCTGCGAATGGTGGAATTATTAGTTATGAAATAATAATTAGTTATGAAATAATTAGTTATGAACATAATTAGTTATGAAAAGTTTCAAAGGAGGAAGGGTTATCCTTCTCCAAAGGCCAACTTAAGCAACACATGCAGCAGATGCAGGTGGAACATAAATGAGGGACTAAGCAGCTGAGCTCTCCCAAATGGTACATTGAACATTGAATACGTGTACCAGACTGCCTGCTGCTCGAAGTAGGCTGCATGTCCTTTTTTCTCTCCCTTGGTAAATCTACACCTGTTGAACCAGACACCATAATTCAGCAGAGCTGCACTGAAATCTGTCGAGTGCTATTCATTTACAGTGGCTGGGGAAGCCCATACCCTACCCGCAGGGAAGCTGTACTGCATTGGTTTTATGCATGACAGAGGAATTGCCATAACAGACCAGATCCCTAGTTCATGTACTCCAGACTCCTGCCTCGGAAAACAGTGATGAATCACCAGAAAACATGATTTTACAATTTATTCTAGAAATCCTGACCTACTGCTGGTGATACTCACCAATGGTGAGATTGTAATCAACCCCACTACCACCGATAGCTAAGCAATTATAATCAGCATGCTCACATTTTTTTGCTTCTGGGTTACTGGATTTGGGGTGGGGGTGGCTATAGCCACCAGAGCCCATTTTTTTTTGTTATAGGCTAGTGTATAGGTTAAATATCACTGACACTTTGGTGTTTGAAAATCAACATCAAGTGCAATTGCAGATGTAACCTACTGATCATCCCTCAAGAAGCAAAAATGAGGCTGGTGTTATTAACTAATAATCTTGTAGCCTTACTGGAAATAATCCCACTGTTACAAAAAAAAAGAAAAAAAAGAAAGAAAAAATGACACATATACAAGAAATTCAGAACAGTGATGATGCTTCAATTTGTTGGTTTTCCTCAGGCTTTAAGAAAAAGAAAGACATTAAACCATTTTACAGTTAAAGAAAAGCCTTCGGGGCAGAACATTACTCGTGATTTGTTGGATATGGCTTACTTATTTTTTGTTATTAATCTCACAGTGCCTTGAGAGAAAAGTGCATGTTGTTGCTCTAATCTGCCTACAATGGTTAGGTGATGGGGCTTTCTAGAAAGCAGGGGCTCTGCATTTGTTGCAGGGTCATGGTGCAATTTGGGAGGCATCTGCTGTAATGACTGAGCTCTTGTAGGAAAAGAGTAGCTCCTGTTCACCTTAGGAAGGATAATTTAGGAGCCAAAACAAAGCAGAGATTTCTGAGGCAGGGATGTCCAATCTGACATGGTCTTCCCTGCCACAGTAATAAGCATAAGAGGCTGATTTAAAATGCTACTTCTTGGATCAACATTTCCTAGTAGCTAGGCAGTAACCTGGCATGAACCTTACTGAAAATCACAGTGGGGTGCCTTCACCCCAAGATACAGAAAACTTACAGGTTTTGTGCAGTGTCGTACTCAAGGAACAGGGTTTTGCATTGCTGAGAATCACAACAAGAAGACCTTTTTGCTGGCTTGTACATTAGTGACCAGCCAAAATTCACAGGGGCGTCTTAACTCTAAGTCCTAGCCACTGAAACGACCTTGCCTGGAACAAAGCAATCACATAGTGAATATTAAAAAGTTACCTATGACAGGCATGGGCATGCTAAAAACCTGGGACAGTTTAGAGAGCCAGATTTTGGGCTTGCGCTTACTTTTGGACTTCCATTTCTTAACATCTGTGAGGTTATTGCATTGAAACCTTAAGTGGTATACTCACTGATAGTAAGTATAACATTGTTTTGTATTTCCACTGTTAGATGATAGTTCATTTATTTGCCCAAATCCAAACAGAAAAAACAATCTAATGGTACTTTGGGCTTTGATTTGTTCATGTTGGACAACATCAGACTTAGCAAGCACGGGGAAGAGAGTTTTTTCTAGCAACACCTCATGCCATACTTAGTGCAACTTAGTTAAAGGCAATCTTTCTCGAGAGCCCATCCAAAGATGGTGCCCCTAGGCTGTTGTGGTGGTAGAAAAACTGTGATTTAGATGTCACATAAAAGACAGATCTTCACTCATTAAGAAGTCCATTAGCACACTTGGGGGAAAGCAGGGACATTTTCTATGCTCTCTGTAAACAAGGGAAGTGCTTCAAAGCTGGGCATCGAATGTATTAGTCACTTTTGAAAGAACAATTCAATGGGATCAAAGGGCCAGAAATAAATTGGTAACACTTAGTCTTTTTGAAAATTAATCAAAAATCAAAGAAGTGGCTGAATTCATTGGCAAGATGGGAAGGTTTCAAGAACTTGAATAGTCTTTCCAGTGATCCGGTTTAGTTTCCAATGCAGTGCAATCCTAAAACCTCATGAATAGGTTTTGTGTCGAGTGCATAAATCATTTACTAAGAATATTCATCATTGTTCTTTTTGCCTCTGTCTCTACAGCTTGCATTCATGTCTCAGGTCGCACCTCAGATCTCCTCTGAAATCATCTTTGTACTCCCTGTTCTCCCTGTCTGTGCTTCCCCTATCCAGTTTTTCTGATATGACTCTGATGCCTGAATATTTTAGGTTTCCCTTATACAAACCCAGAGTTGTCTGCCATTCACATCACACACTGACTCCCAGCTTGGAGGATTAAAACTCACCTGGTATTTTAGAATACAGAAAGGCACAGCAAAGACATTCAAAACTCTTGCATCCCCTGCCCATTTTTAACTGTGGAATGAAGTGTTCAGTCAGTCCTGAAAGTTGGCCAGTGATGCCAAAGACACAGTCCGGAGAACCAGGACATGCTCTGAAATGCATACATTTTTTTCAACTGAAATTTTGATGAACAAGAAAGGCTTATAGGCTGGAAGAAGGCACATGAAAAACGTTGAACACAGGTCAAATAACTGAAGAAGACAAAGAAATCCTCGGCCTTTTTCATAAACCTCTCAGATTGTTGACTGTATCTCATCAAAACCTTCCATAAGGTCTGTCATTTTCCATCTGCTTAACTCCTTTCTCAAAAAGCCAAGTGTTAATTAAAAAGCTTTGAGACTGGGAAGCACAGGTCACTGAAGTCAGGGTCAATTTTCACTTGTGCTTTGAAGGGAGCTGGGACCAACCTCAAGCTCCATAAGCTCTTGTCCATTTCAGTACAACTACATTCACAATCACCACAGCAAGGATCTTTCTATCTACTGTGGCCTATGAGTAATTCTGGGATGTTTATAATGTAATATATGTAGTATTGTGTTCTGTCAGAAAACTACAAGAAACTATAAAAAATAACCAAAGATTTCTTATACAGCAAAAAAGCCCACCGCTCAAATGCGCTTGTATAGATGAGCATCCACGTTGTTTCTACCATATCCAAGCCATGTTTACCACTCTTGATTCTGACTGACTGTAAAGCATGAGGTCACCACAGCAGAGACGTGACTCCAGTCACCAGCAACGTATTTAGTTATCATAGAAAGTCCTGCCCTCAACTTGCAAGCTCTGACACAGTCTTGATCCCAGAAGCTTTCAACCCCAAAGGTAAAGACCTATTTCCAATCTTTCTCTTCAGCCAGATAAACAGATTATTTCAGGAGTCTTTTTCGCTGAAAATGACTACCTAGAGGACATTTTCAGTGTTTGTTTTCTCTTTCTAACTCGATTACCTATGGAACAAGAGAAGCTGAGACGCTGATTGCCTTACAGACATTTAGAGGAATATCTTTTCAAGATTGTTTTTAAGACATTGGAGTAATGCTTGAATGCTCCTCTGTGTATTGGATTGTATTTATCTGACTGTATTTAACTGCATAGCCTTATACAGAACAGTAGTTGCTATACATACATACCCAGGTATGTCAATATATGTATTTACTCATAGGTATTCTGTATGTGACAATAAGGCCATACTGATTTATTTTGTTTATAAACCCTACGTAATTAGTATTAGCTTGAGAAAAATGAAAATGAATTTATTAGCTCGATGCTAAATTTGGTAGAGCATTTAATTGCAACACTTAAAGAATAACAGAACACTAATAACTGAGGATCCTCGTTTTCTGCTGTTGCAAGTATTCCTCCAAAATAAAGAGAAATTTCTCCCTTTTGCACGTGTAGCATGTTGGCCTAAAGGTGGCATTCATGTCACCTGATCCCAAAGAACTGAAACCTACATGTCAGAGTCCATCAGCAAGTTCACTCAACTGAAGCCATAGCCACTGTTCTTGGAGTGAAGCCATAGCCACCTCTTCCCAGTAGTATTGAAGGAGGCTAAATGAGTAGCTTTAGACAAGATTCCTAATTTTAGATAGATAATTTTAGCTGATTAATCTAAACTCCCCCATCAAGCCTCCCTTAATGATCAATGAAGGCAGCCAAGCAGGTCCAGCGAAGGATTCCTCCTACCTCTCTCAGACACCTATTTGAGGACAGAGTGACTCACCGTACAGGAGTCTGTCTCCCTTCATTAACTCCCTCCAGGCTAATCAAACACCTAAACAGACTGATTCTTCCACACCTCCGCTTCACTATGGAAGGGAATTTAAGGTCTGCAGGGACCGGATCCCTAGAAGAAGCATGTATGTCCCTCCAACACAAATTAGCCAATAGTGGCTATAGCAATAGCTATAGCTGTATCAGAAATTTAGGCACCCAGCTCTGTTTTATTGGGAGCTCAGCATCTTGCCACGGATTTGGATCCATATGCCTATTGCCACAAGAAAGGCTTTGTTAAAGCAAATGTATAGCTCACTGATAATCCACCTATGTTTCCATTCTCACCTCCATTCATTAGATCAGACTGAACCCTTTCCCCAGAAATTTAAAAGTCGTTACGTGTTTGAAGAAGAAAGCAGTTTAGCTCAGCAGAGTCTTTTCTGTTCCCCATCCTTTGTTTCCTGAGACTCTGAACTCTTTAGGACAGGAAAAGTCATTTTTATGCTTTTCAGCACCAATTGCTCTCTGTTCCTTGTCACTTACAAGCAAATGGTAATTTTTAATGTCAAGGACTCTATTCTGCAAGGCACAAAGTATATCCTGCAACATACAGCTCCCTGTGGAGCTGATAGGAGGTAAAAGTACCCGGTTCCACAGAAGAAGTTTTCAGGATTAGCCTTCTGGTTTATTTTTATATCTGAATAATGCAATATTTACAGAATCCACACTAGAATTATTTCTCTGCTCTGACATAATCCTTTGAAATATGAAAGGACCTACTCAGTACATCCTATGGGTCTCTGGCCTTCCCTGACTGTCTAATTTAGGGTACAAAGCTTCCCATGAGACCTGATTTGAGACACAAAAAACACTGATATTTAGAGCACTGACTTTTACCAGACATGTAGTTGGAGTTCATATCTGAGCAATAGTTTGAGGCTAAAAGGTACGTAGAACATGCAGTTTGTAGAATTTCTTTTATTATGGGCACAGTCTGCTGCAATATGCTAAAACATTAAAATGATGCATGGCAGCCTACAGATGTGCATGATACATCACTTCAGGTTAGCTCCACTCTGCTGACAGCTGCAAGAGTAAGTTGTGCGTGTATTATGTGTAAAAAAGCTAGTCCAGATGCCAAAGTCACTCTACCTGTAGCAGTGTAACACTTCAGGCTGACTAGTTTTCCCCGAAAGAAGGGTATTACACATGATAATACCTATACGTGACAAGGTTTACGTAGCAACGACCTATATGCTATCGCAAGTACTGTGTAAATACAGAGGAAAAAATGAGTTCCAGAGGATGTGAGGTGCAGGTGTGAAAATTTACATCCTACCTTTCGCCTTTTAAAACTGAAGGGTCAAGACCGGTCTGTAACCTTCTAGGCTCTCACTGTTACCAGTGGAAGAAAACAGGCCCTAGAGGAACATTCGCCCCATCTGTCTTTCTCAGGACAAGATGAAATGCCTCCCGGAAAGGTGACTGTCTCTCCCTTGACTACAGTGGGAGCTTGAATCCCAGCTTACACTAAACATTTAACTGTGAAATCCTACCTTTCGCCTTTTAAAACTGAAGGGTCAAGACCAGTCTGTAACCTTCTCTCTGTAACCTGTAGGCTCTCACTGTTACCAGTGGAAGAAAACGGGCCCTAGAGGAACATTCGCCCCATCTGTCTTTCTCAGGACAAGATGAAATGCCTCCCGGAAAGGTGACTGTCTCTCCCTTGACTACAGTGGGAGCTTGAATCCCAGCTTACACTAAACATTTAACTGTGAAATGGCTAAAGTTAGAATTAATGAGTCCCTGGGAATCACACCCCTAGGAAGGTTTCCAAACACTTCTCTGAGGCTGAAGGTTGAGGGGAAAGAGGATATATGATTGTACTTGAACTTACACTAGCTGTTGCTAACCAGTCCAGGCAATGCCAGCAGTAGAGCATGGGGCTTAAGGAGGGATATACGTGCTTGAATTGTGTCTCTGTGCTCATACATCTTCCCTGATGTTTAATGTTACAATCTCACCTGCTGCCTCCAGTGCATAGCAGACATAAGGCTGTTCATGCTCCTGCTTGGTGATATTATAAGCAGATGCCTTCAGCAGTAAAAACATCAGTGCCCTCTCAAAGAGCTAAATGTCCCAAATCCATCAGGAGGAACTATTCCTTTTTAGTTATCCTCCTCCTTCAGCAAAGTTGCCTTTCTCAGGACAAGCTGTCCCCTTTTGTCCCTCTAAAGCCATGCTACAGCTATTCTGATTTAGGGATGCTTTTCTGTCCTTTGGAAACTGCAACTCTAAGGAATGGAAATGAAAAGGCATTTATTAATAGCATCTTAGGGATGGAAAATTTTAAAGAAAAGAGCTGGGTCAAACCTCTAACTCAGGAATATTTTTTCTTTCCTCACCTCCTACATCCCCATCCCCTTTTTTGAATCCTTTCCTTATTTTTCTTTCTTTCTACCTGCTCCCTTTTACGAGAAAAGTTACCCTGCCTCTGCGGACATCCCCTCCCTTCCCCGGATCCTGCAGGGCAGCTGCAGAGCCATCCAGCTGTGGGCAACAGTGTCAGGTGCCAGATGTGCTGTCCCCCACCCCCCTCCCCGAACCCAAAGGCATCACCGCCGGGCACTCACCAGCGGGAGCAGCAACCAGCACAAACTTAGCATCCTCCGCAGCAGCCGCCGGGTCCTCCTTGCTCCCTCTGCTTGTTGTGAAGCTGCCAAAAGCCGAGGCTCAGCCCGCCCCTACCTGCCCAAGACCCGCCCCGGAGCGCCTTGCACCTCCCTTCCCGGACACCCGGGTCCCTCCTGGGGGAGCCGGGCACCTTCGAGCCCCGCAGGACCAGGTTTGCGGTGGAGGGAAGGAGATTCTCCAGCACCCCCCTGGGATTTTGGATCCACCTCTATGAACCTGTCTTCTGGTCGCCCACCTGGAAAACTGCGGGGAGCTGGAGCATCGATTGGTCTTTTAGGGTGTAGTTGGAGGCAGATGTTCTCTGTGCAAGAAGAGATGTTGGATTCATCCCTCCTGCTAATGGGCCCGTGCTTGTGGCCGGTGGCAGCAGGTTTTCAAAGGATCTGGGTTTTCAGTGGGTCTGACAGCGTGGTATTCCCTAAGGACTCACACAGATAGAGTTTCTGGGTTTTGGCATCCCCCTCCGCTCGGATGGAAAATTTTGAGCAGTGACAGAGGATTTCCTCCACAAGCTGCATAAGGTCTTTCTGGCCCTTGTGTTACAAAGATGCCTCAAATGTAGTTTTATTTCTTGGTGTAACAGGTGGAAGCTAAAGCCCTTCTTGCCTACGGCTTGGACTGGGGGGGCGGGGGAAGCAAAAAAATTATAGCAATTTTTTAAATGTCAGGGTTCATAGGACCTAGGCACCACTTCTGGGTTTTGCCACAGTAAATATTGCACCAAGCTATTTTCAGGGCCTGGGAGAGCAGAAATTGTGGACATGACAAAAGCATTTTTTCTTGATAAGATTTAAGTGCTACTTCATATCCTGTTCATCATTCATTATTTCCCAATGGTGTTAAACACAGGAGTTCTCTGTAGTCAGAGGAGATCCAGGACTCACTTAAGTTATCCCAAAATAGGCATCTAATGCCATTTGAGGAAATATATATTTTTGCAACTTTCTTCATGAGTGTATAGCTCTCCTATAAGTCCTATATCATGTTTGCCAGTTCCACCTAGATATTTCAGATATACAAGGGCGCCCTGAGTGGCATTCCTTACTTATGTTTAAGAAACTGAGTCACGTCAGTGGTATCTATTAATTTCTCTCTTTGCACCCTGATAGTCCTGACCAAATCACTCTGTCTGAATGGGAATCTAGACAACTTGTACACATGTGGACAGCTGTATTAAAATACTGAAACGTGGGTGTTTTGTATCAGGATGTACCCCACCTTAGTCTTACAAATCAAAGGAAATTGGGTCTAAAATCAAATAGTATCCCCAGGCTCATGCTAGAGAGACAGTCAGTTCTACAACCTGTGCAGAATAAAGAGGGGAACAAAGGCATAGATTTGTGGGATAACATTTGTAACCTAATTCTCATTTACCGCCCCTTTTCTATATGTTTGTCTTTCATTAGTGCATAATGGCATCTGATCCCTTACCTGCACAGACAAGCCTCAAATGCTACTCCAAAAATCAAGTCTGTTACAAAATAAAGAAATTAAAACCTAAAAAAATCATTTGAAGTCTGATTTTGACTGGTTTTCCCCATCTATAAGGGATGAGTTAAAGCTGTGGCCAACTCTCACTAGTCAATAAGGTGGTTCTCACCACACTGGAATAATTTTTAGGATCCCACTACAAGGCAGGTACCACATGGTATCAGACGGTTCCTAATTGTAATGCAAAGGAAAATACAAAGTAGAGGCCTATCAAAAACACCCATTATAATTCCTTCTGAACAGTATTCAACCAACTTGAGTATATGAGATCATAGAATAACAGAATAATTCAGGTCAGAAGGGACCTATGGAGATCTGGCTCCAACAATCTCGTCCCCTCAAAATAGGTCAAATTTCAAAGTCAGGTCATGTTGCTCAGGCATTTGGTTGCTGTGTGTCAAAAAAAAAAAAAAAAAATTGCTCTCAGTCTCAAGAGTCACACTGTAAACACAAAGATGCAATTAAATGAATATCGGCATGATATTCCAGTCCACTGGATATTTCATATTTCAACTGGATTCCATTATTTAAAGCCTCGCAGGTCACTGATGAAGTCTTTTAGGTCATCATAACCTGTCTTCTAGTTTGGAGCAAAACCAAGTGAGAACTTGGTTTTGGTATTTTTTTGTGTGGTTTCTTGACATGGGTGTTCATAAGTGGTCCTTCGGAGAAGGCATTGTTTCTTCGAGCAGATGTGGTCTCTCAGTGCTTCCTTCCTTATGTATTTTCTCCCCTCCATCTGCTTTTCCTATCTGATCTCCAGCTGATCTAAAACCAGGCCACATTCCAATCCTTGAGCTTGAAATTAATTAGCTGGAAACTCCTCTTGTAAGAGTTTTTGTCCATGCTAATAAAGAAAACAAAGCCTGCTCTTGTTGGGTTTTTGTAACATCTCACTGTAGTTAATGTTACAAACCTCGCCTACATTAAAGTCTCCGAGTTCCTTAGTTTACTTATATACCTTCATTACTTTAAACAGATCCTTTTGTAGGCTAAACCCTTATTTAGGCTAAAACCTAATTTCCGTTTGTCATATTAATTTACTTTATTCCTTCTACTCTCTGTTATTTCTCTGTATGTACCCAAAGAAGATCAAATAATGAAATAATACAGGAAAGTAACCATACTTCTCATAATCTCTTGTATGCTTTGATGTATTTTGCTACTTTTTATCACAAAACAGTTCCTTGCCTGATCAGCTGGCTACAGCTAAGCAATTTTTTTTAGTCTTCAACAATTATAGGATAACTAATCTAAGGATCAGCTCTGTTTCCCTACTGCTCTACAACACCAACCTGGGCTCAGAATATAATGCTGATGTGCATAAAAATGTCCTCTTGTTAGCATCAACAAGCAATCTAGCCATCATGATGGTATGAAACTTAATCAATGAAGCAATAGACCTGAGATTCTTCCTAATCCCCATCATGGATATTCTGAATCAATTGATGCCATTTAATAAAAATGACTTGACATTTACTTAGCTGCGTAGAAGTTGCAGAATGTTTTTTCGATACCATATGCTACCTGAATAAGGCTTTTCCATAACAAAAATCTTTCTGAAATGCAACTGCATTTCCTCTGTGTGCATATACAAGCATCTCCTTAAACAACAAAAGTATAGTGCACCGGCACCGCATTGCAATATGAGCCATCAGCCAGAGAATAAAGGTGAATCTATTGACATTTCTAAACAATCTTTTGATAAATCTGACTAAAGATGCAAACCAAAAAGCCCTGGAAGTATGGGAAGAAGGCTGTAATTGCTGAAAGCACGTAATCCAGTGGTTAGACAGAACATGACATTACTGAGTAACATGTTGCCACTATAATTAAAAACAAAGCTTCACTGTACCTAAAAAATGGAGGGTATATAAACAGGATGGAAGTTTTATTCCTGAGACTGATCTCTTGTGATGTTTGAGGGAGTGGAGTGAAAGCAGGAAGATAAAACAACTGAAGAAACGGATTGTTGTTGAGATACTAAAAAGGTAAGGCACTAAATATCAGAAAACAAGTACTTAGAGCTGCATGAGGATAATTCATCCAATTCTTTTTCTTTGTATATACTAGCTGTGTTATCTACTTACTATTTTTCTTGGGTAAAATTGGCTCCTGCTCTGTCCTGGGACTCTGATTCCATATGTACCCATATTCTGTTACTGCTACCCGGCCTGACTCCAGGGACACCATGGAAATATAGGCAGAGTTTTGTCATACAATCATGGACACTTGGCTCATGTGGTTTCCATCCCACGTATTTTAATCTGTAAACTTTCCACCCGAGCATCTAAGATGCTTTCTGAATTTGAAAAATATATCTCATCCGTACTTATCTACCACAAACATACTATTTAGATTATTTAAAAAATAAACTCCTTTAATCTTTTCAGTATTTCTACTTTAAAAAAAAAAAAAATCTGTCAGTGATGCCTTCTCTATTTCTATTGTATCTTATTTGTTGAATAAGAAAGTCATTTTTTCAAACCTAAGGGAAGTTACTTTTTCCAGTGACACACAATGCAATCTTCATTCCTATTAATAGTCTCTAAAGAGTTGACAAACCAGCTGTTCCTGTCCTCAGAAATAGTTTTATGCATTACGTTATTCATTTGTTCTCTTGCTTTCCTCTGGCCATTTCAACTCAAATTCATTTCTACTTGTTTTTCAAGATGAGTAGAACAACACTGATTTTTATTCACTAAAATGTGGTTTTAAGACTAAACTCGCTGCCCTCATAACGGCCAAGGAAAGATCCATGTTTCTTCTAGGCATAGGTTGAGTCTACAAAACAGAAGATAGGTAAACATGAGTAACCTATTTTTAACAACATAGGAGTTCAGTAACTGGTGTGTACTGGTCTCTGCTTCTTCTACGTTTAACAGAGAGAAGCGCATCTTTTGTCCAGACTTTTCTCTTTGATTAAGCCAATTTCACCACTGACTGTAGAGGGGGCTCAGGCAGCTAGCTCATCTCACACCCCTACAGTAGTACTTTTCTCATCTAACTTCAGACATTAAGAGAGTAAATGTGAACTGATTATATGAGGTTATTTTCACAGTCACAGACACCATTGAATGCAATTTGCCTGACATAATTTAAATGTCTACAGAGGACAAGATAATCAATTCCTCAGGGCATACTCACCTCCACTAAAAGGAGGAGAGGATGATTGCTCAGATGTAGATGTTTACTTTAGGGGTGAAATTCCACACTTTGGTGTGGACACCTAATGTAGGCATCTATCTGGATGTGTAAGCTGGAAAAGTGAGCTCCCGCTGTGGTTAATAGCCAGTCTAAACTAATTAGCTAAGCTTCCTTTACAATTATGGGAACAAGATAGAAAGTTCCTGTTAGAAACTCATTTGTATTATATTGTGGTGGGAGGTACTGAGTCCTAAGCCATTCTCTCTCTTTTAAGTGACTTCAAAGGGAGATGAGAAGTGGAGTTTGTTAAAGCCATTGAGAAATTTAGATATCA